TATTTTAAGATCGTACTAGCAGTGTTGTACAGCAAATATTAGTTTAAATTTTTTAAAAATACGTAAAATACGTAGAAAAGGAGATGTAATTTGGTTAAGCATATCGGGAGATTGGAAGAATATATATTGCACATGTTGGCAACTAGTAATACCCATATTCTCATTCAAAGCTTAACCATTTTGCCTTTCCTATCTAAAATTTTCTTGGAGGAACCAAATTTTTTCGCTTTACGACAAGCAGACAATTCTTCAGGCCAATGTGTGTTAATAATGAATTGCCTGCTACCCCATATAAGAATATTGGTCTGAATCATACTGATTGTACTAATAGTTGACCTCGAATATGTTTTTAAAAAAAGTCTCATCGATTACCGCGAGCTTCACTCTCCGAAACATCATCTCTTCTCGGAAGGGAAAAATATATTAGAGCGAATTTTCGCGCCAAATGAAGGCTAGTGGTTGTAAATTTAGATCTACCAAAGTAAGGTAATTTAAACGGGAAAAAAACGCTACTTCTTAGTATGCACACCTGCCGAGGCAACACAGAAGGCTCGGACGTCACAATCTTGAGCAAACAAGACTAAATACACTTTCTGTTCTGAATCGAAAGTAAAATGTAAAATTGAACATGGTGGGTGAACATAATGTACCAGAACTGGGCGGATATGATTACGAGTTTACAGAAAAAGTTGCTGATGATTTTAAATGTCTTGTTTGTCACTTCCCAATGAGGGATCCAGTACAGATTGTAAAATGTGGACACAAACTATATAACATATGTAAAGAATCACTCTTCGGGTAATGGCTGAGTAGGATAACTTTGCTGCATGTAAAGTATTTGAAACTTTGCCCCGATTATACCTTGGAAACTTAACTAACGTGTTGGTGAAAGCATGATAAATCAATATGCTTTTGCTTTTGCACATTGCAAGTATGATCTCTTCCTTTAACGTAGATTTAACTGTGATCTGATTGTTTAACTTTAAGTACTTTGGTGTCAACGCAATCCTGATTAGGTGTTATTTCTGTGCATATCTATCTTCATTTAGCATTTACTATCGTTTGTCATTACATTCACACATTCCCCTGAAACACTGATTTTTCATGAGGTTGCATCGTTTCAAAGGCGCTTTCTGTATCATTTTTTCATTAGCGGACCTTCGCCATTGTGTCCAGCAGACAGGCAGCCATTGTCTCGCGATGAGGTTGGTAATCAGTCCCGCTTATTTCGTAGATTTTCCATTCATATTCAGGAAGATTACTTTTGAATTGAATAAAGCAGGATTCCGTCTCTAACCTGAAGGTCCTTCCCTGATCACCTTCTCTCTTATTTAGTAAGATGTGTCTATTTTGAAGGTAGTAAGACATTGCTTGTTTGAATAAATTGGTAGTTACAGCATTTTTCATTATGACAGATCTTTCCCGATACTGCTTGCCATCGCAAAATCCTCTATTTGATCGTGAAGTGTTCTCACTTTAGATGTCTATGGACAAGAAAATTGCGTGAAGTTGAGGTAAAATCCGTGCGGTGAGCCGAGCATAAACCCGATCATCTCTGTTATTTAATTTTCTTAAGGTATGAGCGAGCGGTATTGTACAAATTCTGGGAACTGATTATTTCCGAGAACGGGTATTATTCTCCCATCTGGCCCGTTCATAGCGGGCGGTTTCCGTGTCGGATGTCGAATAGGAGGCTTGTCCCGATTGTGCTCGGAAAATTTTGAGCAACATTTGGAATTTGGAGCGACTTTTTCCAATTCTAGAAAAACCGAGAAATGTTTGGACATAAAATATAAGATCAGAGCACGCATCAAGAAAGAAAAAGTCAATGATATAATAGAGAACTTCAATTCATGCAAATTTCTTAAATGTTTGTCCACCTTTTCGGTAAGACACCTGATGAAGAATGTGTTTTGTTCCGTTAGACTTATAGATATCGCTAAATTTTATCATCATCATCATCATCATCATAGTTTATTTAATAAAGCAGGTTAAGGGATAGGCAAGACATTACGTCCTGATGTGGACCTGCATCAATTAAACTATCAATTAATAAATACCTAATTAGTGAACAGACCGAAAATGGGTATGTAAATAATGACAATTGAAAGAAATAAATATTAATAACAATACGGAGTAAATGTTAAAAGTATTTAAAGTCAACAGATTTGTTGGAAACGCTGCAGGAAGCTTTAGCAAAACTGATAGATTTCAGAATTCTCTTATTTTCCCTGAGTTTTCTCTTGAAAGAAGTTAAGTTTGAACAGTTCTTGATGTCTNTCTGTAGACACAGCCAACAAGGAAGGATTGAGATCTCATGGTGATGTTCAGCCATGATGCTTCTAAATTTGGTCTTTCCCAAGAAACAGAAGGGTATACAGTAAGATATTCTTTAAAATATATCAGAACACCACCTCCACAGGAACCACGATCCCTTCTCACAAATTTATATCCAGAAATTCTGATCCAATCGTCTGACACACTTGAGTTAAGGTGGGTCTCAGTAATACCAAGAAGGTCAAACTTGATCTCGTACAAGAGGTGCTGGACCTCACTCAGCTTGTTTATAAGGCCATTGATGTTGAGATGACCAATCTTAAGGTTCTTATCGCCAACTGTTTGTTTAAGCACGAGAAAAGGATCTTCCTGGGATTCTGTAAGCTTGGTGTCGTTTACATTCGAGGTAGTAGTTGTAAGTGGGGATTCATTTCGGGAGATATTTGCAGTAATCTCAGTGGATTGTTGGCAGCGAGGACAAGACCACTCGAAGGTTGTCAGGCGTTGCAAGTTTTTGTAATCGTTGGGCTTGATGTTGCCGCATTGGATATGGCACCATTTTTCACACTGGTCACAAATCACGGCTCTGTGGTTGCAAGCGACGGTCTTCAAACAAACAGGGCACTTTGGAGGAGTGGAGCTCGGACCAGGATTGAGGGAAACATCGCCGCTTCTAAGGAGACGACTTTGTTGAAAACTTGTGTCGGAGTTGGCATAGTAGTATGTCCTCGAGCCAACATATCTTCCGCCACGTGGAGCAGAAAGAAAATAGCGGACGTGCTCACACGTTGGGAAAGGCTGCAATTTCGGTGCAAAATTTTCTCTAGAAGACACAAAAATTCTCAGCTGGAAAGCCGAGTCGCTTAGAAAGCGGTTCCAACCTGAGTTTTGACCAGGGTATGACAGAAAGCAGAACAAATTTAGCAAAAGTACGGGGACGCCAAATACACGTCCGACTGCCATTACACCGCTGACATTACACCGCTGACATTACACCGCTGACATTACACCGCTGACCAATTTCGCCCATATTCACGAGCAACTCTTTAAAGATAAGTCTGACTGATGTTGGCAGTTATTGTGAATAACGAAAAACAAAACATTTCATTACGTTTATGTTAAAATATCAAGAAGTTTAGGTAGAAACTTTTGAAATTTTGTCATTGACTTTTTGGAATTTTGGAAATTTTTAGCAACTTATTGGCATTCCAGTTAACAACTTTTTAGCATTTGACGAGCACAATCGAGAATGGCCTAATGCAACTCTAGCTTCGTTGCCAGTTTTCATAAACATATGGGTTTTGCCAGCTGGGAAATGTTATCAAGCAAAGACTTCGGTCATGACGTTAAACTGTTGAATGATCTATTTCATTTGCTTTAGCTCTGTATTCTTTACTATGTACTCGATTATAAAAATGTCCAGTTCATAGAGAATTTTTGCCGTAATCAAGGCCCTAGATCATTCTTATTGTTTTGTTTTGGAAAGAAATAAAAAAATGTTATTCACCGGCCTAAATCTACCGGGAAAATCTGTACCTTCTTCCTTAAGTACCAGCCTCGGGTTGTATGCAAGACGTCAGGGACAGTTTTCCCAAAACGGCAGTTGAGAATTCCCAATGGAATTTATAACCTTTCCAAATTTTTGTTAGAAAGGGGTCCTAATCGCTGAAATTACGATTAAATTTGATAAGTTCCTCATCTGGGCAAAGTACTTCTATTTGGCGCGGACATCGTTAAGCCATCAGTTTCGATGATAGAATCGTCGATCATTTCACTACTTTGTGCATGTTAAAGGAATGCATTTTGCGCTCTCCCACAAATTTAACTCATAAAATACCACAGACAGATCTTACAGTGGAAATTAGAAAAGATGGCTGGATTGCTGACCGCCGTAAGTCTCTAGTTAAACTGTGTTTTATATGAGAACGATCCTTCGCAGTAAAGCACTATTTGAGCAATAGTGAAAATCAGACCTGAAAATCAGACCTGAAAATCAGACCTGAAAAAAAAAAAAAAATGACCTGAAAAAAAAAAGACCTGAAAATCAGACCTGAAAATCAGACCTGATTTCACTATTGCTCAAATAGTGCTTTACTGCGAAGGATCGTTCTCATATACGTCTCATAACCGCAGTTCACACATATGTTTCATATGTTTGTTGTTGTTTGAATTATCATCTACGGGTTTATATCGAATTAATTTGATGGCCTGCTCCCAGTTGGCTTGTTAGCTCAATTGGTAGAGCGCTGCACTAGTATCGCAGAGGTCAGTGGTTCGAGTCCCGTACCAGTCCGTACAAATAGAGTCCTGAAAAAAATTTCAGGCCTGATTTTCACTATTGCTCAAATAGTGCTTTACTGCGAAGGATCGTTCTCATATACGTCTCATAACCGCAGTTCACACATATGTTTCATATGTTTGTTGTTGTTTAAACTGTGTTTGTTACTCAAGCTTTTCATTGTCACTTTTTCAGTGAAGTGAGCCCATAAAAATAGTAGCTCTACTGATTATTAAAATTTGCCTCGATTATCTGTTTCTTTAGTAACCTCATTACATTTTTATCCATAATTATTTTTTTACGTATCTGTTCAATTTATTTGTTTACTACAATAATTTGACTTCAATACTGTTACTTCATGAGTTCTGTCAATTTACAGAAACATCAATCAGAATGCCTGTTTAAAGTGAGGCAGTGTCCAAACTCAGGATGTACAGAGAAACTCACTAAGCAAGAAATGAAGACACACGTGACATCTGAATGCTCTTGGAGGAAAGGAAATTGTGACTATTGTCAAGAATCGTTCATTGTTAATGACAAAAGGTATATACATATCATCATAGTTTGCGGAGTAGAAATGTGCGGCTGTGCTTCATAATCTGGCTTTTTGTTTTACCGAGCCGAGAGAGTGCATGAAAAATGTAAAGGTTTTAAGGTAAGGAGCATTTTTTTATCTCATTTCCTCCAGAAACATTTCGATGTTTGTCCAAAGTTTCCAGTGCAGTGTATCAACAAGTGCAGCTTGAAAGAGATTCCGCGAGAAATGGTTTGTTTTGGTAATGTTCGGGTAACAAACCTTTTTCATGTGCACCTCTTATCATCACAAAATTTGAGAGCTGCGATTGGTAGCGTTTCAGAATAAAGTAATTTTTGCAAAAAAGATATCTTTTGTCTGCCGCGCCCGCTTGGTATGACTCCCCATGTCACTGTGCCCCCGAAGCTCATAACGTCGCATCCGCCCTCTTTCTTCCTACAAGTATCACATACGCCGGTGTCAAAACTCGACAACTACTTCTAAAACTAGTGACTTCGAAGAAACAGATGAACTGTAATTTTGCTCGCACTACCAAAAATAGGAAAATAGATTGAAGATATTATCAGTAAATGCCAATACTTCCCCTTCCCTAGTAAAAATTACAAGTTCTGCTGTTTGCCCTTTGCTCTAAACATTGGCATGAGTTCCAATTTCCTGTCACCTACGTTCGCAATAATAATTTGCGCATAAGCTTGTTAAGGGTTTCAGTTGGTTTCTTTGAGGGAGAGAAGTCAGCCAGATAGTTATCGATGCCAAAAGCGTTCTCACATGAGAACAGCAAAATGAGGTCAATGTTTTGGTGGAAGTGCAAAATTTACAATTTCTTTTATGTATATTAACTGTCCATCGTCAATTGTTGTTCAGTTGTTGTTGTAAAGCCATTTCCCATTTATAAAGCTGTGATTCTTTTGGTTTTTTTTTTTTACAGCTGGAGGTACACATTCGCGATGATTGTCCTGCAACTGAGGTTTACTGTAAATACAAGAACTTAGGATGTGATGCAGAGGTATGAGCTGTTTAATTAATTTTAGAGCAGATGAAACAGATCACTGAAATACCTCTCTTGGCGAATAATGTAATCTAATTTGGAAAACAATTGGCATGTATTCTCAAACTGCTACGAGGGTTTTGATGTGCTTTTTTACAATGTCCATCTTAAAATCGTCTAAAAAGCTTCGAAATCGCACAAATGCTGTACACATACTTATGGATTAGCAATCGCTATTAAACCTTTGTCATAAGCGGCGAGCTTAACAGCTATATATTCTTTTCCATGCATGTAAACCAGCCCTCCTTTAGCCTCGTCGGCATGTGTGTAATAATACACATGCTCGCCATTGCAGAGCAGGTCTATAGATGACGCATTGTGGTTTCGTTTCGCTTTCAACAGTTTCCACGATCAAACAGCAAATCTCACTTGGAGTCACAAGTTGAAAGACATTTAAGCTTAGCTCTTCAAAACCTTGAGGATCTTACTCGCATTGTGAATGAACAGTCTCAGCAAATAAAGCGAATGATGGTCAAAAATGAAGAAAAGTCACTGCAAATAAAGCGATTGATGAAGCGGTTGATGTTGAAGTTTTCTGAACAGTCACAGCGAACAGAAAGGATGGAGACGAAATCTGTTATTTGGAAAATATCCAATTTTCGTAGTTTAATAACAGGTGACGAACCTAACGCGATTAGTGAGTCATTTTATTTGTCTGCAAATGGTTACAAATTGAAGATGAAGATGAAGATGCAGATGAAAATGAACGTTAATAAAAGAAGTGACGCTGATTACTTTCTTTACCTCAGTTTGAAGGTTGTACAAGGAGAATTTGATCCGTTATTACCGTGGCTATGTGAAGAAAAGGTGCCAGTTTAACCTTGTTAGATCTACGTGAGGAGAAAAGGGAAAATATTTTGCGCTTTATTGACTTTGGAAAAATGGATCCCCCTCTACGGCCCCAAAATGAAACCGATGGAGCCTTTTACGATATTTGCTCCATTCCTCTCCGTTGGTCCGAATCAGGTGGTCTATCATATATTAGAGAGAACACAACTTTGATAATGGCTGAAAAGGTATAGTGCCCAGCCGAACAATTCATCATCCTCCTTCTCTTATCGACATCTAAAATAGAAAACTATTATAATTTGAAGTTAAGACGCTCTTTAGCTTTGGTTCTTATGAGAACCTTTTTTTATACGCCATCTCCCTACAAGCTAGCTAAATCAGGATTTGAGTGACTGAAATAGACTGAAGCTACGCTTAGGCTTTGTCAATTATAATTAACCACACTCATGCCATCACTCACGTATGTTATTAATCCCGATGCCGTGTTTGCTCTTACGTCCAGAATTTGAGTAGCCAAGTAATTATACTAAATATAACTATGGCAATGAATAAAAATATTTGAATTGTTTTAAGTGTTGGATAACTCTTTACTTTGACAAGGATTATTCTGAGAGCTTGTGACTCAAGTGAGACTTAAAAAAAAAAACACACACACAAAAATGTTTCCCAAACTAGAGGAGCCTACATTTCAGTGTTGCCATAAAATAGAATAACATAGCGTAGCGAAGCAGGCACAGTTATTCGTCAGTAGTACTTTTGGTGAACTGATGAAACTGTACACTTAACGTCAGACCAAATTTCTCATGAAAACCTGACACTTTAAAACAGCTCGGTTTCTTATTATAAACAAACGCATCAATTGTGAGTTAAGAAGACTGAAAATCAAGCCAATGGCAGTATTTGTGAATTTTGTCCCGAGTGTTCATTCTCGAGTCATCTGAATTTTTCCCGAAAAATACCAATTTTCGAACCCAAGAGATTGGACTTCATCGTCGACTTTGTCCAAAAGTTACGAACTTTTGTCTTGCGCAGGATCAAAGTTGGCAAGGCTGAGGTAGCCCATCAGAACACAGGATTCGCTTCATGTTGTCCACGGGCGCTGACGGCTACCTATTAAGGCAACTAATTATACTAATCAGCATCGTTTATTCAGGTTTACCATAATAATCCAAGTTTCAAGTTTATTTAGCAGATTGATACATTTTAAAACTTATGTCGGCTTTTGGTTGGCACCCATGCTTCTAAGATTTCGACTTTACTCAGTGTACCTGTTGATTCGTCAGATTTTAAAGTCTTTAGGTGGATCATCTATGTTTGTCCTAAAAATATAGTAAGGGGAATCATCATCAACAAACTTTACTTCGCTTCTGACTAGGTGACAACAAAGGAATTATACAAAACAGACTCTTCGTTTGTTTTTCTTTCTTTATAGGTCGAAATGACAAAGTTCACTTCACACGCGTAAAAGGGGAAAGATTTTATGCAATACATCCTGGGCTATTCTCTCCGTAGCCTCTTTCCTTGACGTAAAGTTGTGCTCTTTATTAGCAGAGTAAATGCTGAAGAACAAGAATGTTGTGAGAAACTCGTGAGCCAGCATTCGATCCATGTTTATCGTTTTCAAAATTGAAGGAATTGGTTCACCAAGTCACCATTTGACTGCGACAATCCCAGAAAAGCAGTGACCCGACAGAATCTGATGGCGAGTAGCTTAAGATCAGAATACTTCCAATATGCGTGTTTGCTTACATTCGAGGTTTATATGTTTTGGTTGTTACTGGAAGCTTCTTGAAGTTTATCAAAAGGTTCTTCTTTGATATTTGAAGGATACCTTTCGATGTTGAGAGTTTGTTCACTAGTTCATTCTTGATGAATGAATTGATCTGGCGATCAGATACATTTATCAAGGTAACCCTGGTCTTAAGATAAACGCCGCTGACCTAAAAACGCTTTTTACCTTCGCAACAGCTGAGACTGGTTTCTTGTTTAAGGGTGTGTTTTATGATCAAATAGATGGGGTTGCCATGGGGTCCCCACTTGCTCCAGTACTTGCAAACCTCTTTATGGGACATCATGAAAAAAACTGGCTAGATAACTATTCATTCTCTGAAGTTCTGTTCTACAGACGCTATGTTGATGACACCTTTTGTTTGTTCAATAGCGAGGAGGACGCGCTCGTGTTCTTTGATTATATCAACGCCAGGCATCCTAGTATTCGTTTCACAATGGAAAAGGAAATTGATAAGAAATTATCGTTTCTAGACATATTGTTAGACAACAATCATACATCCATCGTCACTAGTGTATATCGCAAGAAGACGTTTACTGGCCTTCTTACTAATTATTTCAGCTTCGCCCCTTTGATTTACAAATTAGGTTTAGTCAGAACGTTGATTGACAGAGCATATAAGATCAATAATTCCTGGGTTGGTTTTCATCTGGATGTCAAGAAACTTATTTTCTTGCTACGGAAAAATTGTTTTCCATCTTGGGTCATAGACAAGATCATTTACAGGTATCTAGCGAAGAAAAAGAATCCTCCTACTGGGCAGAACGCCTCTNCATTTGTACAAGTCATTATTCTATAATTGAAATGCGTAAAGTAAATCAGTTTTGGCCAATATTGGTTATTTGTTTATATTTTATTTAGTGTTGAAGCCGAACAATTTCCTTCAACATCAAGTAAGCTTTGTACAAGTTTTATACACAGACTCGATTTATGATTTTTCAGTCTCAAATATTTAGCTGCAAATTTGTTTACTGTGTTCTTCACCAAATCTTTGTTTTTCTTTTTAATAGTGTTTGTGAATGACTATCAGAGTTTGCCATTTAACAATAGCGCGATTCCAAAACAAAAACAAACGACTGCAAAGGATCTTGGATGGAAATGGGCCTTTAAATCTGTTCCCACTCAAGAGATGAAATCTTCATCCTTTTCCAATGTGGACGTAGCGTTTTCCTTATACAACGTAGACCCCACACTTGAAGAGGTGACGTCATATTCTTTGTTTGTATCATGCAAAAGATTACCCTTCCCTTCCTGTTCTGAATCGGAGGTGGAACTTAATATGAAGGCTGGACAGAATGTTACAGAACTTGGTGGATATGACTATCAGTTTGCACGCAAAGTTCCAGATGACTATGAATATCTTGTTTGTCAGTTACCGATGAGGGATCCAGTACAGATTGTTCAATGTGGACATAAGCTTTGTAACATCTGTAAGGAATCACTGTTTAAGTAAAAGCCGAACAGAGATAAGATTGTGGCTTGAAATATTCTATAAACATGCGCTCTGTCTATATGTCCAGCAGGCGTTGAGAAGCTTAATGAACATTTCACTCAGTGAATAAGAATCTGATATACTTTTTGTTAGCTCGTATTTGAGATGTAAGTTCTTACGGGAGATGTCTGTGTGAAGCAGTTTGCCTTGTCAACGCTCTCATCATTACACTTTGTGATAACTCAGCCATTATTACTGTTTCCATTAAGATCCACGCATTCAAATAAGGATTTAAAACACTGCTAATCATTAAGTTGAAACGTTAAAACTGAATGCTTCTTCTGCATTTCTTCCATCAGAAGGCCTTCGCCATTGTGTCCGGCAGACAGGCAGCCACTGTCACGCGACCAGGTTTAAAACAAACACGCTAATTTTATATATTTTGTCATTAGAATTTTTGTATCTACGGACTACTGTGGAGTCGTAGATTCTATGTTATCCAGAGTGTAACTCCGTCCGTATGTCCGTAACAATAGAAACCTTCGGATAATTCTCGGATTTATTGCCCCCCACGGGCAATATTTCTGTATTTCTATTGGTTTTGTAATCGGACCTTTCAGCGTCACCACGCGCATATAAAATGCAAATTTGGCGTCCCTTTAATCAGTTCTTCGTAAGTTTTGAATAGGCTTGGTAAACGTTCGCCCTTTCGTTTTCTCAACCTCTGGCACAAGCGGGACCGATGTGTGAGTACCTTTGTAACTTTGTTTTTTCCTTTCCAGTCTTCCAGTGTTGGGCGACAATATACAAACAAATATTGCAATGATCTGTATAGATTTAAGATTTAAAGGCCAAATTCCTGCCAATTTGCAAGCCAGTGAACGCCCATCATTTAGATAGAACAATGGGCTGTTTATTAGTCATCAAAACTCTTTTAATTTGTTTCCAAACTTTTGTTCTGTTTCACTTGTATTGTTAATCTCATTGTAGACTTTAGAGCCCAGTATTTAACATGCGATTCTTTGATCATGTATTCCGTGGCTTTTCGTTAGATTGATAGAACTTCGTTGTATTGTTGTTTCAGTTTACGGTCGATCGTTCAATAGATTGATTGACAGTCAGAATAATCGTTATTTTCGTCATTGATTGTGGTTCGTGGTCGATTGCCTTTCAAGAATAAAGATTCGTGCAAACAGTCAACTTTGGGTTGTCATTTCGATCAGTAAATTAGTCCCAAACACCTCGTTAACCGCGTTTTGGAGCGACACGCCCTTGAACTTGAGAATTTAGATTTTGGTCGCCGTAAACGCTACAGCAAGGTTTTACTTCGACTGCGATGCTGGATATCCGTTTCTTTTTTTCATTTGAAAGTTTTTCGTGATTTACTTCTTTTGTCTAGATAGTATTTTTCTATTACATTTACGCCTTTACTTATCGATTACTTTTTGGCTTTGCCTTATTGCATGATGTCTCCAGTAAAACATTAAAAACTTCACCACATACTGCCTACTGCACTAAAAAACGTTAACATGGATCAAAATGCTACTGTTTTGTCGATTTATCACACAAACCCCACGTGCTTCAACTTTCTCTACCAATCAAGTTTCACATTTCAGGACACACCCAACTAGATCACGGGCATGTGCGCTGATGAAGGTTCCACTGTATTTTCTATCTTTTAGGAAAGAGTAAAGGTCGTGAAGAAGTCACGAGCTTTAATGACAATTTTCACAACTGATGCCCACCCCTCAGAGTAACCTGCTAAATGCCATCTCTTTCTGAAATTAGGTCGCTCGCACTGATCTTTTGTATGGCATGGTGGGATCAAATAGCATTAACAAATTTGTTGTTTTGTCTCACTTTTCCGTTTTCAAGTTTTCCGCATAATTTGTTCGGAGAAGGTTCGCCAGATATTTGAAAGTTAATTAATTTGGCGATTACACCGATCTAATTTACATTAAAATACTTACACATAACACTGGTATATTTTACAAATGCATTACAAACGGTGCACATTATGAAACGTTGTTACTTGAAGTGACACAGCTTCCGAGGAATACACTAGATATCCCAGCGGTGGGTCCGCAGCTTGGATGGTCAGATTCCTGAGGAGCGTGGGATGAGCCTGGATGTGGTACCGCTCCTCGTCATCGTTGGTAAAGTACGGAGGTTCTAAAGCTAGAGAGGCCCTCTGGCCTCGCACACATTCTCCATTTGGGCGGCCCTCAATTGGGACCATTATCTCTTGCTGTGTTAGAATGCGGTTGGTGTATGTGCCCTAAATATACACCATAAAAGAACAACTTATTAGTTGCATTGCAGCGAATGCACTGGAATGTAACAATATATGCAAGAAGAGTGTTGCCGTATCTAGTTTATTACTATACGTTGCTTTTATCTCGCCCCAACGAGAACAGAAATGGCTTTTCATTCATGGCAGACAACTACAATACGTGGTCTGTCTCACTGCCTCAGTACCAGTCCCTATCACATTCTGTCATTTATTCTACAAGTTTGTCTTCACTTGTTACTTCTCCAAGAACAGCTTCGTCGTACGTTAACTTGAAAGCATACCTGCAATAAATCAAAGTCAAAGTGGAATAAATGATCTTAGGCTGGTGAAATATTAATTTCTTGGAACTTTCTCCTTCTAGTAAGTACGGAAATGCAGGCTGCGCAAGGCGAAAACATTTGTGTTCTAGTGGGGACTATTCGTCACTTTCCTCATGAAAAGCTTCGGTAGTTTGCAATGTTACAGTCTCCAAGGTTTGGTGTCGGAATGCATATCATTATAATTTTTCTCACTGACTTTGTTGTTGATTACCACACGAGAAAGTCTACTGGCTTATATACGATAAAGACAAGAAATCGACATTTATGAAGTTTTGACCAAGGTAGGTCGCCAGTGTACACTTTGCAGTGACCAGGCTTAGCAGCTATAGCAGAGGATCCTGGAAATCTTAGTACTTCCTCTACAGTATAACAAGCGCCTGTCAGCTGACGGCAGATGCTCGTAAGAGTTGAACCTCTATGGATACTTTCTGCGATGCCCTTGTTGTTGTTTCCAGAATTTAAACCCTTCACAACATGTTTGAACCAGAAATCGGGAAATTATGAGCATGTTCTGATGTAAAACTAACTGGCTTAGCATAAATGCTTGCGCTTGCTTTAGCATCTTTCTTTTTAGCAGACTACGAGTAGCAGTTGCCCATTATGGATGAAAAGCCATTTCCGTGAATACTGATGACTGCAGTGATTACTGATGACTGCATGCTAGCAGCAACCCTTGTTTGTCCTTTAAACACCTCCTTGGCTGCAAATGGAGAGATCAACGGAGTTATTCATTTTAAGGAAGCGACTTCTTTTACCCAAATTTTTATCCTCTTGTAACAGGTTTCTCGTGTACCAGTAAAACAAAGGCATGCTACCAGTGCAATAGTTTTAACTAAACTACCCATCCCGAAGAATTATTAAAATTATTTTTTGGGATGGGTGGGTTGGAATGGGATGTCCCTTTTGAATGTTTACGAGAGACGCTTACGAAAAAATCCATAACACATAATTGCACTAAAAAGAAAAAATCCTCCAATTGATCTGAAATAAGCTCGAACAAAGTTAGTCTGTGATCTATCGCCTTTGTTCACTGAGTTGCTTTCTGTAAAACTTAGTGCGTTGGAACTACCCTTACTGCCGTTCCTTCATTAGTGTCATAATCAAAAATAAACCGTTACAGTTATTATTCTCAAAAATATCGTATCTAATTTTGCTAGGGAAAGCAAAACCCAATCCTTATTTAATCCCCATTGAACACTCGCAGAGATTTGTTGCGTACATGTCAGTGAAATTACGTGGAGAGAAGAAAACAGGATCCTATTCCATAGGCTCTCACAATAAAATAACTATAATACATAATATCGAAGTCGAAGCAGAAACTTGTTGAATTTCTAAAAACCTCCACAAGACTAACAGCCACAAGGAAAAAAAATAACAATTTGTGGCAAACACTTAATGTTGCCACTGGTACGGAGGTAATGCTGACGCCAAGAAGCACAGTCGGCGTTGCAGCATCTTGATTTAATTCACATTTTTAAGAAAAAGGTTATTTTACGAGCTTCGGAAACAATTCTTTTGTACTTGTAAAAAGATGAGTAGTGCAAATAACCAACCCTTTCGATGAAATTTGATTGGCGCCAAAAAAATGTACTGATGGACATGTACTAACGGATCTTTTGTGCGAGCAACATACCCGGCGCAGTCTGATTGGTGCGAGAAACATACTCGAAGAAATCTGGTTGGTGCGAGCGACATACCTGACACAATCTGATTGGTGCCGGCAACATACCTTAGCTTATCAAATCTGCCTGGCATGAGCATCATACCCGGCGAAATGTGACTGGTGCGAACAGCAAACTCTAGCGAAACTCACTGCTGCGAGTAATTTGCCCTGTGCAATCTGATAAGGGCGTGTAACTTACTCCACTCTTACGGTGTGAGCAACACCGCTTTGGACGAGATAGATATTATTTTTTATAATTTTAGTTACTTTAAATAACTCATAAAGGGAAGTAAACGAGGTCGCGTACAACTAATGTGTAACATGGATGGATAATGCGTAACAAGGGAGTCACCAAAATGAAACCTCAAGAGGAATTCGTGCTATGCACAGTCGTTTCACGTACTTGAGTTCCACTCTTTTTTCACCATTATGAAAATTGTATCGTTTAGTATATAAGATGCAGATTGTAACATCTCCTCAGAAAAGGGGCCAAGAACGGCATGCCAATTCGCGTCAGCTTCAGAATGAGGCCTTAATATGGGCCTAGCTAAGCTTTCAAAGTCAGTTACGCGCCATATATCTTTCTTCTCATCTCTACACGGGTTTTGATCAAACAACGTTACTCGTATCTTTTCCTTGAATGGCCAAGATAATAGCGGATCAAATTCTCCTGGAATAACGCAAATATAAAGAGAAAAGGATCTTGTACACGAGACCAAATCGTTAAAGGGCCACCCCATCATATAGGCATTAGACAAAACTTTGATTCTTAATTTGTACCCATTTGAGGAAAGATAAAATGTACTTGTTATGATGTTTTCCATTCCAGTCACTGCTCTTTGATAAGCAGCCCAGAAATTAGAAATTTTCCACACAAATGAAGGACTGTTCAGGCACTTTATATGTTGATCTTGAAGTTTGACCTGAGTAGTCAGTCGTTCAATCTGCTGTGAATTGCCTCTATCTTTGGCCATCAGTCGTTCAATCTGCTGTGAATTATCTTTATCTTTGGCCATCAGTCGTTCAATCTGCTGTGAATTATCTTTATCTTTGGCGATCAGTTGTTTAATCTGCTCTGACTGATCCTTAACCTGATGCTGAGTGGTCTCAAGACTGTGAAGGGCCAAGTTTAAGTGATGTTCAAGTTGTGTTTCCGAGTGAGGTTTAGTCTCCAATCTTGGGAACTGTGTGAAAGAAGAGAGATATGGCATAAAATAACGAGGACAACAATTATAACTCGGAAATAACGGGGAAACTAGAGAGTTGGCACAGTGTCAATTGCATAACTGATCTATGAATTTCTATTGAATTACTAGTGAGGTGTCTTTGTTTTTTAGTTCATAAACATGTATTTGTTCATAAAATATCACTTGTTTACTATTTGTACGAAATTTATTGGGCTGGTTAGTTAATCAATCGCCTTTCTAAATCTCTAGTGAAAACCAACCAAATTGCCCATACAGATCCGTACAAAACCTGAGTCTGCATCATACTTTCTCTTGCCTTCATAACGCAGCGACTATTAAGGTTATTTTCCCCACCTCAACAATTTTCTATCCAACTTCATAAAAAATTCCGTGAAACGCGACACATTTTGCGATAAGGAACAAAATTCTAAACAGCCTAAGTCTCTTTTCCCGGCCTTTGGCAAGCCCAGTAAGAGTCTCTACATAGATGTAATTCCTTTAGGCAAGTCTATACCTTTGCGTGGCATCCCAATTTGTTGAATTCGCAACGAACCACAGTTGCAGGACATTCCACGTCAATGTGAAATTCCAGCTACAAACAAAAATATATAACCAGGAACATGAGGGGCTTGTAAGGCTAAAACAACAGCACTGATCCTCGTATTCCTATATAATGCCATGGCTAACTAGCCGCCTCCCCTTTAATCTCGCATTAACACAGACCCGACGACTATTTTATACAGCAAAAGAACATCTGGCAGTTTTTCGAGTAGATTTCCCATGCCACATGAAGCTTATTGTCGTAGCCACTTGTCGCTCAACGTGACTCCGACTAAATAGCTGAGTTACGTGCAAAATCCTTGTAAACGTTTTTATCATGTAAATGAAAGTGTCATTGACCAAGACTAGATGCGTGGTCTGTGTTAAAACAAACCTCATCTCGTGGAATCTCTTTTATGCCACACTTGTTGGTACACTGCACAGGAAACTTTTTGCAAACATTGAAATGTTTCTGAGAAACATCAAATAAAATGTTTGAATTCACCTTTACATTTCTACGATGGCCCAGATGGCTAAAACAGACAAAAAAAGAAAAGGGAACAAGTCATATAACTGGGTTTTACTTAGCATTTCCGGTCTTTCCGACTGTCCGCCATGTGCTGTAGCGAAATTGGTCCCACTCTTGCCAAGCCCCAATCATCTCAGATTATGACTAACTAGAACCCAGCCCCTGCATGTTTCTCTTTATATTATTTGCGATTTATTTTTTGTCTGCCTTTTATTTTTTCTTAGTTGCCTTTAATTTTATTTGTTCAATTTTCTTTTTATCATTTACGTTTTCTTTTTGATTTGTGTTCGAGCTTTCTGAGCCACCGTTCATTTCTCAAACTGACAATAATAATGTAACTTACGTTCATTTCTCCGGAACAGTCTAGAATCTTACAGATTATCATTTGATTTGGCTCCCACAGACTAAATTAAAACATGTCTAATTTCCTGTAGACACGCGGTCTAGGTGGTAAGCTTCGCCGGAGCCATTCAAAAAAGGTTTTACGACATATTATTTCGCCAAGCGCGATGCTGATAAAAGGATTTGTAAAATGATCACGAAACTAAAAATGTTGCAAATTCTTATGCTACGTTAGAGATATTTTCGCCACCAAAACGTGGGGGGGGGGGGGACAGCTCCCTCCTAATTTTTGTTTCAGGGGGCTATGGCCCCCTACACTGCTTTGCTACCTCTGCCACGAGAATTTTTCAGGACAAAATAAAGCCAACCCATAGGGGTAAATTTCACTTTCATTAAAATGATGCCTCATATCTGCATACCTTTCGTTGATTAAAGACCAATAAATTTTGACAATATTCACAATTTATTTTCCTCCAAGAACATTCAGATGTCACGTGTGTTGCCATATTTCTCCCAGTAACTTGCACTGTACATCCTAAGTTTGGACACTGTACCACTTTTAACAGGCATTCTGATTGATGCGTCTGCAAGTTGATAGAACCCATATATTAACAAAAAGAAGCCAAAAAAATGAAATGAGTAGAAAAGTAAAAAAAGCAAGTCAAGAAGTTTCCACATCAACAAATTATTGAGAATACAAATTAAGTTACACTGGTGGTTAAAAGCGTTTCTGAGAGAAGTAATAATGAAAATGTTCCCGACGTTTCGGTCGCAATCACGGACCTTCTTCAGGAGAAGTGAAAGAAAATATTTTATGCAAAAGCGCAAATATAAACAAGACGCTGACTAAAATTCAAGATGCGTGTCACTTTTTCTTGTTAGTGAGGGTCAAGTGTAAATACACCTTGGGGAGTAACGCCCCGTCGTCTCGGTTGAGTGGGTCTTTGGCGCAGTTAATCTCTTAGGCCTCGAGAATCTTTCTTTGGTGCCAGTTATTGTTAGTCTTGAGAATTGTGGCCTCATCCCCATGCGATATCGTGATTTGCTTTTATTTGCATAAAATTTTTTCTTCCACTTCCCCTGAAGAAGGTCCGTGATTGCGACCAAAACGTCGGGAACATTTTTATCATTACTTATCTCTAAAACGCTATTAACCACCAGTGTAACTTAATTTGTATTTTCAAAATATTTTTGAATGTACCCACCTGGTGACAAATCCAGTTTTAAAATTATTGAGAATATTCAATATTTGGAACGGCATATTTTTTACTTGGGTTCACTACATGCTCTCTCTCTAGGTGTAAAGCGCACCACTTTTGTAACTTTTTACATCTCAAGTAATAACTCGTTGAGAATGCTGAAAAAGTCGTCATTAAAGCGTGCATGGGTCTATCAATGTTTCGTTCGTGTTATGTTAAAATTTCAAAAGAACTGACGCATTTTACTATGTTTTTTAGGAACTTTTCAAAAGTGAAATGTAACCCTTGTGGCACCCTTTGGGGTAAGGGTGCATTTTAAAGGGTAATTGGCATATTCCACGGCAATTAATCGATAGATCGATAGCTAATACACACCACTAGGTT